CCCCAAAACCCCAAAACCCCAAAACCCCGTACTTTTGGACAAGAATTATATTAATTTTACAAAATTCCATGGCTACTCCTGAAGAAAGTAACTTAGCCCTTTTAACATCATAGAAATCATCTTGAAGATTGCAAAGAAATTTGACCTTGAAGTAAGGACACTTTTCTTTATTCTACTTCATATAGGACAAGCTGAAAAGTTTAAAATATACGAAAATAGTGGAAGATAGAGTATTTTATAGTATTAAGCTCCGATACTTCCTACTTTGGATTCTCTATACACAAAATACTAAGTTTAAAGATTTTAACAGGATACTTAAAACCATTAATAAGGAAGTGGAAAAGTTAGAGGAGGATAACCCCGGTCCTAGTTATGGAGGTATCCTTGATAGAATTAAGGACATTACCAATTTAATGCCTTATTTATCCCAGAATGGAGAACTTCTTTCATTTCCTGAGCATACTGAGTTATTTCCAGACATTACAGATGAATATATTGAGAACATTTACCTGTAAGCTCAATTTTATATTTTTAGAGAACAATTACCTGATAAAGAGACAATTGAGAAGGTCCAATCCCATCTTAATGTTATCCAGACCTTGGCTAAAGAGTGGGAGAATGAATGAGAGATTAGGCCATACGGATCCATTTCAAATGGGTTTTTATTGAAAGGATCAAGTGACTTCGATTTAACTTGTGTTTTCAGTAAGAAAATGAAGAAGCATCCTTACTCTTACACAAAATAACTTATGCGACATGTTGAATTCAAAATATGGTGACAACATGTGGAACTATATTTTGTCTCCAAGACTTTTCTTGTTAAATACAACATTACCTGACAACACAGAGATTGAGATCTCTTTTAACAACATCACAGGGTTATTAAATAGTGAATATGTGAGAACTTTGGCTGAGATAGACTCTAGATTTCATAAATTGGGGTACTTCATAAAGTATTTCGTCAGCTCCAAGAACATCTTTGAGTCTACTAGGAAACTTAATTCCTTCAGTCTGATCTGTATGCTTATTGTGTTCTTGCAAGATCAGTGCGACCCTCCTGTCCTTCCTCGTATTATAGGCAAGAGTTCTTACTTAAATAAAGGTAATAGGCTTCGAATTATTTTTAGAGCTGAGATCTCCCTTCTACATCAAAACAATGGTAGGACCTTCAGAGAGACACAAGTTTGAATACAAAGCAGGAGAGGCTAGTCTTGACCCTAACTTTGAATTTGACCATGAAGAAATCAAATCTTTCATGGATAGAGAAGTTAACCAAGAATCTGTCTCTGTGCTGTTTAAAAGATTCATCCACTTTTACTTTGGTGGAGGAGGATTCGATCCTATTCATGATGTTGTAAACACCAGAACTGGAAGAATTGAGAAGATCAGTAAGTGGATATTATTTTCCTTCTTATGTACATTAAATATATATCTTCTCTCTTTGCTTCTAAAGTCTTATTGACCAACTGATTTAGGAAAGTTGAATAGAGTCTTTGAAAAGAGAGTATTGGAAAAAATGGAGGAAGCATGAATCGCTGTAATTGATCCATTTGATACTTCATATTGCCCATCAGCTAATTTTGAGCTGAGATCTTGAATGACCAGCAGATCTATGGTAGGAAAAATGTTGCAGTTTATTAAATAAGGTTCAATTATCTGATCTACTCTGGGGTTTTGGGGTTTTGGGGTTTTGGGG